AATGGTCCACGAAGATCCTTGATCCTTGGCATAAACGCCGCATAGTACGTTATCATGCCGAGAAAAGCCCTCAGTTGGCTAACATTCTTCGGCTCATCCATATTCTTGATCGCTTCGGTCTTCGCTAAGTTCGGTCTTCTGCCATTTCGATCCACTATGAAGCCAAGATATCGTATCTCTGGCTTACCGAAAGAACACTTCTCTAGACGAATTTTAAATCCATATTCGTCGATTCTTGCAAACACAGCTAACAGATTCTCCATGTGTTCTTCTTCTGTTCGTCCACAGACCAAGATGTCGTCCAGGTAGGTTGCTACTCCTCGCAGGCCATTCACCATCTTGTTCATGATTTGCTGGAAGATCCCTGGTGCTGTCTTGATTCCAAAAGGCAGTCTGTTGTACTGGTAGAGCCCTTTATGCGTATTTATTACAACCATTTTCTTCGCTTCGTCTGACAACTCAATCTGCAGATATGCGTCCGACAGATCTATCGCGAAAACACCGTGCCTCCATTTAGGGATGCGAATATATCCTCCGGCAATGGCAACGGGTAATCATACGACTCCAGCGCTTTGTTGAGTCCAGTGGAGAAGTCAGCACACACTCTCAGTTTTCCATTCGCCTTCCTAACGCATACGATAGGGGCTGCCCTATGTGTCACTGGACTAATAACCTTCAGGTCCAATAGCCTGTCGAGTTCCTTTTCTACAGCTTCGAGCGCAGCATGTGGAACAGGTCTACTAGCCTTGAAAACAGGACGAACGTTTTCGTCAACTATCAAATGTGCCTTTTCCTTCGTGCATAATCCCAGACCTTCTTCACAGACTTCTGGATAGGCTTCCTTCAGCTTCAGAGCGATGTCCTTGGTTTTCTCTGTCTTCACTTCGGCAACCATTCTGCTTAAGTGAGTGATAGGACATATCTTCGTTCTTCTGGATCCACTCCCAGCAGTGAGTTGTGGGGCGTTACGTATGCGTAGCCTTCGCTTCTGGATCCTCTGATTTCGTACTCACACCATAGCTTTCCACGGATATCCATTAAGTTTCCACTAGCGTTCTTGACAACCACGTTCGTCTCTTCCAAACGAGGAGCACCCATGCTCTTCCAAATTGATTCGTTCAACAGCGTGATGTCTGATCCAGTATCTAGCAGAAAACTAACTGGATAACTATTCACTCTTGCTTCGATATACATGCGTGTCGAGTTGACATCCACCATCACATTTGCAATCTTCGCTACGCTGTGCACATGACGTTTTGGTTTCGTCCAACTTCTGTTCTTACTGGTGTCGCTGCTTCTGTGGATTCTTCGTTTCGAATCTTGTTGAACAAGTGCTTTTTTCTCCGTCACTTGTTCGCAATACTTCTCCTTGTGGCCTGTCTTCTTGCACTTCTTGCAATACCACAGCTTCGCTTTGCATTCCCTGGCAAAGTGAGCTTTACCACAGTTCCAGCACTCCAGCTTCTGGGGTTCTTCCTTGCTTGTTGCTTCGACAATCTTCGTGCAACCAGCCACAGTCTCGCTTTCCTTCTTGAAACTAAGGAAGTTTTCGCACTCGAGGTACAATTCCTGTAGCGACATCTTTCGTCCAGCCTTGTATTCCTTGTCCAGTACGGCTATGAGTCGCTGCCTGATTTCGGCTTCTTTTTGGCTCTTCAGGCCAAAAATCCATAAAAGACATTTGATTCCATCGCTATCTAGGTCGCGAATCTTCGCTTTTTGCACAGTTCGTTCACTCGACCGGTATACATGAGGTAGTCTTCGGAATCCGCCTTCTCCAGTTTCAAGCACTGATACCGCATAATGAACTCCGAAATCTTCACGTCGAACAGCTGCTTCAACGTTTCGACAGTTTCTTCGAATCTGATCGCGGTTACCTCCTTCGGTAGTGCATGCCTTTCGTACTTTTCGAAACTGTCCTTGTCCAGCTTTTCGCACAGCAATCTCACTTCGCAGTTTTTGTGAGCTGCTTCGCATCTTCGACAAAAACGTCCTTGTAGCGCGCATACCATTTACTGAAGCACATGTCCGCTTCGGGGTCGAAGTAAAATTTTTCGATCCTATTGCTGAGGGCGGACATCACGTTCGAAATTTCTACTGAGGTACCGCTTCATCCAGTACCTGTGATGTGCTTCAGAAGCTCCATCATATCTCTTCGTTCCTCTCTCATCTCTTGGAGCAGGATCAGCATCTCCTCTGAACTCATCTTCGCCATGCTGATCTACCAATTCGTCTTGCTGCAACTTGACCGCTCTCTGCAGTCTCTTCGATTCGAATCCGCGGTGACGTCTTCGTAGTTTCGGCTACTTCTTAGCCGCCGCTCCTGATCGCCACTGTTGTGTCCTCCACGACGGACACTCCGACTCTTCGTCCTGAGGCAGTACAGGAGGAACACAAGAATATTTATTAGAGAATAAAAAGGAACAGTGGAGATATGAGAGGCGATGGAGTGAACAATGTAACTGTAGAACTAACTGAACTGACTAAGACTATGAGTGAACGCCTTTTATAGCGCTCATTTCCCGCGCACTCTGAGGCTAAGATCGAATGCGCGAGGGCAGATCACTATGGGGAAAACAGCTGATCATATACGAACACTAACACAACACAAAGCAAGCTTCATAAGAAGGCGATCTTGATTTTGCAAAGCTTTCATCCACCTCGAGTTTCGATCCAAATACTTAAAAGATTCAACTGCCCTAAAAATCGAGAAAAATCGTAGCTCAGTTCATAAAAATCCTACAAAATAACTTGCTCACGTAAACACAATCCACATAAGATATCTATCGCCTTTCTGTATTTTTTTCTTCTGTTTGGAAACTAGAAAACGAAATTTTCGTGTTTGCCAAATGATGCTTGGCTGTCTTCATGTAAATAGCTGTATACTATAAATCCGTAGAAGTACAAACGTAAATTTTCAGCTCTCTACAAGCTGTAGTTCTCGAAAAATATTGAATGTAGCTTTGTTCTAGTCAAGTGTCCATGTAAAATTCAAATTTCTCGAGAACTACAGCTTGTAGAAATCCGAAAATTTACGTTTGTACCTCAACATTTTGTAATAATTTTATAAGTTAAAATTGAATCTTAATTTGAATCTTCAAGTTGTATCTTTTGGGTTTTTGGATTGAAACTCGAGATGGATGAAAGCTTTGCAAAAGCAAGACTTCCATTTTGTAGAGCTTGCTTTGCTGTATCGAATAGCACTTCGCAACCTACTTAGAAATGAAAATGTTTACCTTTTTGCGCTTGAAAATCAAAACGGACATTAATTTCCGGACAACCTAATATTTTTCAGGCAAATTAGCATTGTAAAAAAATTTTCTGGCAACTTAGCATTGTAAAAAATATTTTGGGGTGCTTACGGCGTCTGCAGATTTGGGTATTGTATCAATATCACATAGTTCACGTCAAGCAGATAACTCCAAAAATTCTATTTTGTATCAAAACATCATCATTTTTATCAGTGTGCGGCTTTTCCTTGGTACAGTCTGCCTCAATCCCAACCAGGCCAAAATTGGCATGGCGGGGGTTCGTGTCGCGAGGGTTTTGCGTCACGTCTACGGCTAGCCTCTGCTCCCTGCTCAATCTGTTTGCTCTCTGTGATAGCGCGCGTATGCAGAGCAGAACCCAGCGTTGCGAGCGCGCAAACTCAGCTGACGGTTAAACCTGACCCTGATTGGGACACGCTGTATGTATGATTTGTACAAAAGCGATTCAGTTTCATTGCGAAACACTAGTGTTTTCTTTCTGCGATCCCTTCTTTAACTTATATGGGCAATTTCGCGTGTCTTTTGTTCATTTCGATCAGCTGTTTGTTCAGGTCCGAAGTCAGTCACACATAGTATTGATCATGCTCTCTTATCCGCGTTCTTGCATTTCTATTATAGTCTTTTCGAGAAGGGTGCATAAGCGGGCAATCGGATAGCGCTTCGCCTTCGGGGCCCATGCGAAGAAGATCGAGTGCACATGAGATGAATGTTTTGCAGCGATCTGACTGTCTAGACTTCATGACTAGAAGTGACTGGAAAATTATGGACACACAAAAGTTGGTCTTCCCGCGATGTATGCCAGCTTGCCGACATCTATGATGCCATTAGGTAGCGTAGATTATTACTGGTTTATCTGATGGATTTTATTGTAGTTTCTAGTTTTTAATGGCTCACCAGACTTCAAAACAACTCCTTTCCGATTTTTTCTCTGCAACCAGAGTGGAAGGAAAGAAGTTGTCATTGAAAAGCACATAAACTCTTTCTGGTAATTTCAAAGGCATATAAGGTGTAGAAGGTCCTTTGAAGGTGTATAACTCTTCTAAAGGTATATAAGGTATTTCAAAGCTATAAGGATATTGTGAAAGGAAGAACTTGAAAATAGTGCGAAAGAATTTCAAGTTTCTAACAACTGGCATGCATAATTTAATCAAATGCATATGAAATCCAGCAAGCTTCATAGCACTCTAGGATGCGATGCTCCTTACAAACCTTAGTAAGCACCCCTTGCATTGAGACAATCTGTTTATAATTGCTAAGACTGCATTTGCTTCCAGAACTCCTCTTTCAAAGATGCCCATGTGACACAAAGCTTATTCAAGTTGTGAAGTTTCATTCAATTTCTTGCTGCTAATAAGAAGTTGCACAAGAGTCAGAGAACCTTGATCAATTTCAAATCATGAATTCCCCGAATTATTCTTATGTACCTTGAAGTGAGCAAACAATTGAAGAATGGATCATCTTCTGCAAGAGCTCTTCAGCAGAAGCTCTGCAGTGGAAATTGGGTAACTTTCGCTGGCACTTGCGATAAAAAGAGAAAAGAGAAAAGGTGGCTTACCGATTGTTACTCAACTTCATCTTTTCCTTTTTACATCAATCATAGCTATCCATTAACTTCTGCTTCTTCATGCAGTCATTCAAATACGTCTACGTTTACGTCTTGCCATCGCACGTGTTGATTTTCCATCAAACTCGCATTTTTTTCGATTTCGTCATATGAAAGCATTTTTTGTTAGGATGAAGTGTACTGAACTGCTATTCTTCTTATCTATGCTGAGCAGCTTAAACATGGCTGTGCGTGGGGAAGGTCATATGGAGGAGAGTCGTGCTGGAGAACCTCGTCCGGGGAAGCACGAAACATTTGGTGCTTTCGGTCTCAAGGACAGACAGTCTCGCGAAGACAGGAACAGCTCGTTCGGCAACAACCGTGTGATTTATCCCCACAGCGGTGACATGGAGCTCGTGAGGGAGGACTTCGGTGGTAGAGAGTACATCAAGGGCGATCAAAATAAAGGAAAAAAGAAAAAGGGTCCTATAAAGTGGGTTTGCTGAAATTTGTAAAACCCTTTGTGAATACAGGCAGTGATGATTTGCAATACTGCGGACATGAGAAATCAATTGATTTAGGCATAGCCCTTCAGATTGCCTTTGTGCTTTGTGCTTTGAAAACTCCAAAACTTATCCTATATCAAACAAAGGATACAAATTTCGAAAGTGGTACTCATTATAATGCTAAAATTGATTTTAGATCGTAAAAGAAACAACAATGGGCGTTGAGGAGCTGTTAGATTTTGATGAAAAAATTCGACAAAAATACACAATAACTGCACTATTTGAGAGCAAACACACATTCATTGTTTGCTAATGTCGATCTTTTACTTTTTTAAGGCTTGCTACTTTCTCTTAAGATAGGAAGTCATATCTTCGAAATAGAAATTAGAAAAAGCTGATAGAAACACCATACGTTTTAAGACGCGCGCAAATGTAGAGTTCCGCAAAACTTTTTAGGCGTATTTTTCCCTCTAGATGCTATAATTCAAGTGAAAGCGGTGAGTGTAAGCAGGCATTGTTTTTTAGCTGGATCAAGGCAAAACTCGGTATTGGCAAAAATAAAGATAAAAAAGGAACCGAGGAAGGTGATGAAAATCGAGAAAAGCCAATAGACCCGTAAGTTTAACCACAAGAAACTCACTACCTTCTCAGAGAAAACTATTTTTTTTAGCACGAAAAATATGGATATGGTGGTAGATGAACAATACCAACGTAAGTGTTACGCGCGGCGCGGCGCTAGTTGCTCTATACCAGAGCCCGTAATGTAAGTTTTACTCAGTGCTAATTCAACGGTTCCAGTATCACGAACGATTAGGTCTCATGTCGCGCTCCAGTATGAAGAACAATTAGGTCTCATGTCGCGCATTTTCTTATTAACTGATATTACCACTGCTTAATTAGTTTTTTGACATGTCTAACTAACTAGGATTGATACGAAGGTGATAAAGGTTGTTTGGCTTCTTACTACAAGTCATTGGCATTAAAAAAGTTGGATACCTTCCTTTATTTCCAAAACGCTCAAGTAACTATGCTCAACTGTTTTTCCAAATAGCTGGGTAAATCAACCCAAATTTTTCTGGATGGAGGGGAATCAAATCAATCAACCTCGTAGACACTATACAATACCACCCGTAATTTCTGAAAAAAATTGGCGGCGGCACTTAACTCACGCAGCGCCGTGCCGCAGTTAGGTGGCAAGCGCCGCGTCGCGCGACAAAGTTAGGCGGAAAAGCGGCACTTGCCGCCTAACTTTGTCGCGCAACGTCTAACCTTTCTATAAAATAGACTTTATCTTGATTCAAAATTGATGAATTCTATACATAAGAGTACCATTCAACTCAGTTCGACGAGGCGCATCTTCCAATATACAGATGTGCCTAGCAGTGGGATGTAAGTTTTTTTCCTGGAATTTTAGTGTAAATGGATCATTCAGTGTGCTAATTCTAGAGGCTACATACACATTCTGTTGAGCACTGCAGAAATAGGGCAGGTATAGTTTAAGAGCTCATTCTGCATGGATACGTGTGAAACTGGACTTTTCTCGGCGAAGTATGATGGGTCCCACAATGCAGGAAGACAAAGGGAAATGGTTGGAAATCGCACGAGAAGCACATATCGCGGAATGCCGCGCGTGCTGTGCAATGTATAGGCTGTATCAGCCAGCATCGGTTCCGCGCTAGTATGCCTTGCGAGGACGCACTGTCGCATGCGACGTGCCCTAGCGCGTAGCGGAGTTCGCACGCGTGACTTCGCACCGTTGCAAGTTGCCGCAGGTGCGACGTCGCACAACCGATGCTGGTTGGTACAGCCTATACAATACCACTCACAGAACGGGAATCTCGCGAAATTCCAGAAATTTCGCGATTCCGGGATATAGCAAATTATGCAGCGCCATAACTTCCTTCGGAATGAATAATTTCAAATCCGAAGGCAGCATTGTGTTCAGTTCGTCAAGGCGAATCTTTCGATCCATGTCATCTATATCTTGTTTCCAGTTTTCTCAAATTGTTCTGAGGAGGTCCCTTTGCAAGTATGCAACGCAGCGCCTATCCAACATGAAAACTTCCAGTAAGCACCAATCGATAGTGCTTTTCTTGTGCATTATAGTGCGCTAAAAAGCTGCCGCAGACTTTTTTCAAAAGAGAAAAAAGCATTGGTAAATTTTGGAAAAATCACTCGTTTCCAGATTCTACTCGCCATAACTTTCTTTGGAGTGGATATTTTCTAAATCCGAAAAATGCATTGTGCTCAACTCATCAAGACAAATCTTTCGGTATGCAGAGTCCTTGATATCTCGATTTCAGCATTCCCGAAACTTTCTGCGGGCGTCTCTTCACAAAGTGTGAAGCAGCGCGTATTGCCCCCAGTAGATTCAGAGAGAAATTTTCGATAGTACTTCTTCTGTAGATCAAGGGCGCTGGTAATTAGCCGCACACTTCTTTCCAAAGGAGTTAGAAGTGCTGATGAATTCTGAAAAAATCATGTCGTTCTAAATTTTTCTCAACGTAACTCTAAAATATGAAGCTCTCTTGCTAAGCAAATGTGATTTTCGTAATCAGCAGGTCGGATAACCCTTTTGAGCAAGTTTTCCGAGATGTTCGGGTTATTTCATTTTTTCTCGTTTTACGCTCTGGAAGCTCGCCGATGGATTTTGGTCAAAATGTTCATGCTCTTAAATTGTAAGGAAACTTCGCTTATAGAGGTTTTCGAACGCGCTCTCTACAAAAATCAAGTTCTTTGAGGATTACAGGGTCTTTTGGAGAGATATGTGAGGTGACTGTAACTTCATCACGAAAGTGCGTAACTTTGCTCGCACTTCTCGCGTATCTGTCAGAAACCTTGCCTGCTTGCTTTTCTTAGTCAAAGTTACTAGGAACTGTGCTATCGAAAGGTGCATGCCTCAGACTCCACTCTACAGAAACCGCTCAGCTACGAGCCTACGAATACACATCCTAATGAATTCTGCCCAAAATGTAAAGATCGCATATTTCGTCAAAATTCCACAGTGAGTGCCTGTACAACACGCTGATCAAAATTTTTTCACGTCCTTAATGGATCTTATTGTGTTAGATTTTGTAGTTTGAGTTCTAGCCACCGAAATAGCTTTGATATCAACTGAGCAGCTGAAGCACACGCAAGTACCATATTCAATATAGTGGGAGTCTTTGGGCGAAGCGAACACAATATCTGCAATGCGAGTGTCATACAAGCATTCACGGTGAAATTTCGACGAAATATGCGATCTTTACAATTTGGGCAAAATCCATGGGGACGTGTTTTCGTAGGCTCGTAACTCGGCGAATTTCATAGGTTGGAGCCTGAGTCATGCACCATTCGATAGCACAGTTCCTAGTAACTTTGAGAAAAGCAAGCAGGCAAGGTTTCTGACAGATACGCGAGAAGTGCGGGCAAAGTTACGCACTTTCGGGATGTAATTACAGCCACCTCACCGTATCTCTCCAAAAGACCCTGCGATCCTCAAAGACCTTGATTTTTGTAGAGAGCGCGTTCGAAAACCTCTATTGGTGCTTACTGGAAGCTTTCATATTGGATAGGCGCTGCGTTACATACTTGCAAAGGGACCTCCTCCGAACAATTTGAGAAAGCTGGAAACAAGATATAGATGACACGGATCGAAAGATTCGCCTTGACGAGCTGAACACAATGCTGCCTTCGGATTTGAAATTATTCATTCCGAAGGAAGTTATGGCGCTGCATGATTTGCTATATTCCGGAATCGCGAAATTTCTGGAATTTCGCGAAATTCCCGTTCTGTGAGTGGTATTGTACATTGCACAGCACGCGCGGCATTCCGCGATATGTGCTTCTCATGCGATCTCCAACCATTTCCCTTTGTCTTCCTGCATTTTAGGACCCGTCATACTTCGCCGAGAAAATTCCAGTTTTCACACATCTCCATGCAAAATGAGCTCTTAAACTATACCCGCCCTATTTCTGCAGTGCTCAACAGAATGTGTATGTAGCCTCTGGAATCAGCACACTGAATGATCCATTTACACTAAAATTCCAGGAAAAAAACTTACATCCCACTACTAGGTACATCTGTAAACTGGAAGATGCGCTTCGCCGAACTGAGTTGAATGGTACTCTTATGTATAGAATTCATCAATTTTGAATCAAGATAAGGTCTATTTTATAGAAAGGTTAGACGCTGCGCGACAAAGTTAGGCGGCAAGTGCCGCTTTTCCGCCTAACTTTGTCGCGCGACGCGGCGCTTGCCACCTAACTGCGGCGGCGGTGCGTGAGTTAAGTGCCGCTGCCAATTTTTTTCACAAATTGTATTGTAGAAGGGGCCCTGCAGCCCTTGACGGTCCCGTTAAGGAGATCTGATAAAAAGAACGTTATTTCAAGTGTTTCCAGGCAACACTCTTCTGGAGGAAGAGGTAATAAGAATGGAAAACCTAGGAATAGACAGTAAGTTTAGCCACAAAAAACTCACCTCTTGGAGAATATTTATTTAGCCAGAAATATGTGCCTTCGGAAGACGAAGAAACCTATGATGGGCAAGAACACAATAACCGCCGTGGACCAAAACCCGGGAAGTAAGTTTCATCTAGTGCTAAATGAACGGTTTTAATACCATAGTGCAGATAACTGGGTCAGACACTCATATTTTTGATTGATAACATTATTATGTTCAGTTAGTTTTTTGAGAGGTCTGGCTAACTAGGACTCATGTATGTATAGTTGATATAGGTCGCAAATCATCGGCAGTAAACGATGCAAAGTTGGACACCTTCCTTCATTTCCAAGCAGCTCAAGTAACTATGCCCGACTGTTTTTTCAAACAACTGGGTATTTCACCTGAATGTTTCTGGACGGAGGGGAATCAGATAGCGTCGTAGACACTATAGAAGAGGCCTTGCAGCCCTTGACGGCCCCGTTAAAGGCAGCAGCTTGCCACAGCCATCGAACATCCCGAAATTTTGACATGGAAGGTTGCTTGCACCCGCATGAGAACAAAGCATGTACGAGCGCACAGCATGCTGCCCTGCTTAGAAAACTGCCCCTAAATCCGTTACGCGCAAGAAATTCCAATACGCGAGAAAGATCTTGTGATTCTCGTTGACCAGTCAGAGAAGGCACGCAGCAACGTTATAACTGCGAGGGTCCTGCAACGACTCTGCCTCTCTACTTGTGGCGGGACGTGCTCCACTCGTCCAAATTCAAAATGGGAGGCGTTGGGAAATGGTTGTTTGCCATTTTCGCTCTCTTCAAGGTGGATTTTCGGAATCAGCGCTTCGAATTACCCCATATAAGCAAATAACTTTGAGTCGAGAATCTGCCGAGCCGCTGCCTTCAAGGAATTCTCTGATAAGAAGAACCTTATCTCAAGTGTTTCTAGGCAATCACGTCGACGAAGAGGTAATAAGAATGAGAAAACTGGAAGAGGTAATAAGAAGGAGAAAACTGGGAAAAAACAGTAAGTTTAGTTATAAGAAACTCACCTCTTGGAAACATTTTTTTAGCAAGGAGAAGGATGTGTCTTCGGAAGACGAAGAACATAACTTTGGTGGGCAAGAACACAATAACCGCCATAGACCAAAACCCGGGAAGTAAGTTTCATCTAGTGCAAATTCAACGGTTCCAGTACACAGACTTTCACAGACCTAGAGGGAGCTACTGAATATGCGACACGCAACCCTTCCATTTTTGATCGTAATGTAACACATCGACTTCATTTTTGTCGAGGAAGTGTCTATGCTTCACATTTTACCCAAATAAAGCTTTTGGCCTGTTTTCGGTACAGAGAAGTGAGAGACGGCGCAAAATACAATGTATCTCTTATTGTGACTGCGTTTTCTATTAAGAATTTCTGCTACATAAAGAGGCGCGAATATTGTCATTTTTGCTGTTTAGACTTTATCGAAAGCACTTCACTGATACTTCACTTATCGAAAGCACTTCACGTGTCTCAAAAGTGAAGGAGTTAAATATTGAGAGAGAAGTGCCAGCCTTTGAAAGCAAAATGGGAAAAATTTCCGACAGCTGAAACCGAATTCTGCTTTGAGGTGCACATGAAATATTCAGAAATATTCTTTCGTCGACACAAAATGTAAAGGTGTGATAATGCAGTGTAGAGCTCCCGGATTTGGCTCGAATCATGCGTTATTCGTAGCAAGCAAAAAACCTGCTTACTTCAAACAGCAAGAATTGAATTCGGCGCTTTTGAGGATTTCTTATATTGTGAAAATGATTTTTGCTGCATGGTGAACAAATAGAAACGGAAGGATACTTGTAGTATCCAAAAACGCAGTTTCTAAAACTTCCGCTTACTTGGCTCGCCCTTTTTTAGAACTCTTTGATATGATTTCGGATAGTGAATAATCTTCGTCAAGTATGAGTTGCAGGATTGCAGCAGGACTCCATGATCTTGCTTATGGCAGCATGGCAGGGATCTATCACAGGTGCGTAAGTTTCTTAAAATCTTCCAAGCATTCTCGCTTCCTGTTATACATGGCTTCGCCCTTGGCGACAACGGAGCAAAAACTATCCATTTTTACACTGAAGCACAAGCGCTGAAATCCCACGGCCCCATTTGGACACGCTTTCAAAGTTAGAGTTCCAGCTGGGATGGACACCATAGTAATGTAAGAATGACGAGCTAATGTAGTATTTATAATGCCGAATGCCGACTTACAACTAATACTAGTAGCCCAGTTGAGCAACCATGTTTTTTTAAAATTCGATAAATGAACATCACCTCAAATAATATAATACTACATATTTGGTGCTACAAATCCTACCGAGTGTTTTAAGGATGTAGACTCGCTGCGAAAGGCTAGACACTAGACAAGCTCTGCACGGTTAGCACAGAGGCAATCTGATTATCTTTCTGAAAAGGGCAAGAAAACGTGTTTTGCGCAGGTTCCGCAGCTGAATCCCGAAGAAAAGTGTAAGGGTAAAGTTCTAAATCTGTAACCTGGTTTTCGAGAAACATGGAGTTTGAGCGTGAAACACCCAAGCAAAGAGTTAAATTTGATTCATTTCAAGAATTAAAGCTTTTAAGAAGCTGAAAACTAACGTTTGTACTCTTCTGCAGATTTGTAGTATACAATAACAAAACTGTCGTAAGCGTCGGTACATGATACTAAATGATAAAGATATGTACACATGTAAAAGAGTCTTAACAAATTTTTATCTTTCAAACACTATTCGGTACTGGGGCTGAGAATCAACCGATGTTGCCACTTTTCTAGTTCTCCTCGTCAGCAGTTCCCAGGGGAAGCCTCGAAATCCTAGGGTGAGGCTTTAGCAGAAAATGCTATCCAGAGTCAAAATTTTAAACCTGAGACAGCGCTGAAGGAAAATAAAGATAAATTTGAAGAGAATACGTATGGTATTCAAAACATGTGTGTGTGTGTGTGTGTGTGTGTGTGTGTGTGTGTGTGTGTGTGTGTGTGTGTGTGTGTGTGTGTGTGTGTGTGTGTGTGTGTGTGTGTGTGTGTGTGTGTGTGTGTGTGTGTGTGTGTGTGTGTGTGTGTGTGTGTGTGTGTGTGTGTGTGTGTGTGTGTGTGTGTGTGTGTGTGTGTGTGTGTGTGTGTGTGTGTGTGTGTGTGTGTGTGTGTGTGTGTGTGTGTACTAAGTTGTGCGGCGTATCACCCGAGTGAGCTGTGTGCACGCAGACTCTCCTTGTTTCAACGCAATTTAAACCACAAGCAAGTGAACCTTCTGCCTCCGGTATAACCTTAACTGATATTGATCTAGACTCGCTCAAGAAAATTTTTTGTAATCGTATGTGTAGACTTTATTTTCGTAACTGTAGGCATTTCAGCTTGAAAACTTTTAACAAATTGGCGACAAATTGACGGCAATACGCGGCTGAAATGTTGTCGTAGTACATGAAGATCGAATGAAAATGCAATCAACGGGTGGGGCTGCACGAAGGTATTGCAAGATGAACAAATTTATTTGCAACTGAACTAAGCTGAGAATTACAGTGCAGCTTGTTACATTACTATAAATAACCGTATGCGTGAAGAGTAAAAAGTCGCAGCAAGAATTTAGCGAACGTGGTTGCTGCAAGAGTGCTAGCATCACAACTTTTTAGAGCTTTTTAATCTCGTATTTTGGTCAAAGTCAGTCTCTTCTATCGGCAGCTAGCAAATCTGTCAAACCTAGCTAACACAACATTTTCATCTTCTTGTTAATTCCGATTATTTGGCAAAGATGCAAAATATTATCATGTTTGTTTTCACATAAAAAATCAGCTGACGAAAACAACACTTTTGTCTTATCAGCTGCCTAACACGGTTAGAAAAGGAAGTCACACTTGTAATTTCTATCCTGTTCAAGAAACAGAGTTCATCACCGAATTTCACTTGAGACTTTTCTCCTCATTGCTTATACTGCGGACAGCGAATTTTTTTCAGTGACAAGCTCCATTTTTTGTTTTTTTTTGTCGTTTTAGGAAAATTTCGGTCGAATCGAGTTGATCAGGAAGCTATCAATGTATTGCCTCGTTCTGCTACGAAACTAACAAATAAAATGGAAAAAATACAAGTACAGGCATTAGGCTGTCTCATAGGTTTTTCTTCACAAATTGTGATTTCTACCGCAGTAATTCACCTCCTTCTTTTTTCTTCAAAAATTTTTGGGTAAGCGTTAAATAGAGCGAAGCAAGCTCTATGAAATGGCATACAAGAGGCGCAAAACTTTGATCCACCTGAGTTTCAAGCCTGAATGAAGCTTTGGGACCTCAGAATATGAGAAAATCCATAAATTTGCTTAGGCAAAAATCTGGTTCAATGCTTGTACCCACATCAGATACCGTAACTTATCGTTGCTGTATTCTTTGCTCGGCTAAAAAAACTGAAAACCTTCATGCTTTTGAAGAAGTAAACTATGCATTACACATAAGTATCTGTATATGCAACCCTCTAAAAATAAAATGTTAATCTCTCTGCAAATTTAGAAATATTGATTTAGTCTGCCCACCTAAAAAATTTCAAGCTAAAATCAGTATTTCCAAAAACGAGAGCTTTTAAAGAGACAAAAATCATGGTTGTACTTTTAAAAATTGTAATGTGTAAGGGATATTACCCTCTAGCGAGCGAAGAACAAGAACGATAGAGAACGTTTATTAGAAAACAAATAAACAAAACAAGACAGACGCCACTGTTCCGTGGCGTCGGAACAACAAAGCAATCAACAATGAACAATGAATCGAGATCTGGCCTGCGGCCTCCCTGCCGTGCATTAGCGCGCCTTCGATCACCTTTGATCCAAATCGGTCTTCGCTTCGGTGGCCATGGGCCTGACACGCCCTCCCCGCCTGGAGACATCGCCCTCGATGTCCTGATGCGCGGTCTGTAAACGTCCAAGCAGGTGAGCATCCACTGCTCGTCTTCTGACACATTCGTAAATATACTTATTCATGGCGGTTTTCACGTAACTATTAAAGAACTGCGCGCCTCCTTCCGGGACGTCTGTCTCTATAAACAGCTTCCCTTTCATCCGAAGTTGCTCGCTGTAGTGAAGACTTGCCCTTCTGTATCAGCGTCTCGTCAAAGTCATTTATAATCCAGATAGTTCACGCCACAGATCATGATTCTTCGACGTTATCGGTGCCATGCAGTGACTATTTTTCCGCCCTCCTCGAGGTATTTCTTCGCCGCCACCATCATCTTCTGCGGAACATCATCGGCTGGATTACCATCCAATGGCCACACTATTACCCAGGCTTTGTATGTGCTCCATCCTTCTAATACGTCAAGCAATCTAGCGAATGTCGTTGCGACCTTCGTAGCCACTTTTACACGAATGCCATCTCTCTCCATGGGGCTTCCTCCCTCAAAAGTGGCGTATCCAACTGGTCCGGACTTGGTGGGTAGCTCCTTCATGGACTGTCCCTCAATCTCTCGACGGAATGCTTGCAATACTTCGTTGTAGGATCCCTCAATGGAATGCCCTTCGATCCTGGCGTGCTCCGTCATCGCATCTGTGTGGCAAGGAAAGTCTGTCCTGTCAATGCAGGTATCGTACGCGAGCTTCAAGACAGCTTTCCTTGGCTTCCGCGTCGAAACATATGTGTCTCTCTCGATGAAACTTGATTTTCGTTCCAATATCGATATCTCTTCGGCTGAAGATACTGCAAGCTAGCCAGGCGGACCATAGATTCTCTCGATGCGTTCCTTTGCTACTGCACCCGGGAAGCTAATTCCTTCGATATCCCCGAGCTTTCGATCCTTAAGACAGTCGTCTCCGCATTTGAAAAGCAGATGTCCTTTTTCAAGTGGGCTCAGCAGCGATACACCTCTGAAATCAGTAACTTTGACTTTGCATACTTACTCAATAAAACTTTTCTTTTTCTGCTCCTTTTCTCTCTCATTGTCTGGGTGTCAACTCTGTCATTAGGTATGTAATTTGAGACTACTTTTAGCTTATCGAACTGTATCCGTATAGGATCCCTATTCTCCCCTATGCGCGTTATTAGGGCTGAATTATCGCTAGTACATAACTCTAAATGGATGAGTGCTTTTGCCTTTCTCACTTGGTGCCAGGGCATATACCCGGTCTCCTACTTTAGGATGCCGGCCTGGTCCACCTTGTCCTTGTTGTCATAACTTCTTTTCATGCTTTCCCTAACTCTATCATTGTATCCTTTTACCCTTTCCCGTACGATTGGTTTTCCTACCCGTTCAATGCCCCTCTCTGTGCTCTCATTGATGCCGACTTTGCAGCTTCGTATCTGATTGATGATCTCAGACACATTGTTTCCATATGAAGGTTGCGCGAGTCTCGACCTGTTTTGTTTTCGTGGACAATCTCTTGCAAAATGCCCTGCTTCAAGGCAGTTAAAGCATCTGGGATCCGTCCTTTGTTTCAAGGTCCCTGCATGCGCGTTCCTTTCTTCTGCGGTTTGCATTCTCCTGCCTTGTTGTGTGTATTGGACGTCCGAAGTACTTGGTCGCCTCTCCACCCTTACATCGTCGTAGTTCACTCTTCTATGTACTTGTGGTTCTTTCCAGACACCCGTCTTGTTCACAACTGTGCGCGGCTTCCTTTCTCAGATTTCTTTTGTTCTCTGTATACTAATCGCCACTTGCTTCACTATGCTTCGCTAGGCGGTACCCTATGTAACGCTGCTACCAACTGCTCAGACAATCGCTGGGGGCAGGCGAGCACCGGAAAAATAGATTGCTGATTTCTCGAACCCGCTCGCGGATTTTTTGGAAAGCAATCAGGACTTTTCGGAAGACCGCTTGCTGAGTCAGCGGACTTTTGAGAGACCGCCTGTTGAATTTTTTTCGCTCTTATCTTTTGCAGATATGTTGCTGAATCTCTGAGGAATCGAGAACTCAGCAAGCGGTCTTCCGAAATGTTCCTGATTGCTTTCCAAAAAATCCGCGAGCGGGGTGCGAGAGATCAGCAATCTATTTTTCCGTCGCCCGCCTGCCCCCGGCGATTGTCTGAGTGAACGTACTCGGGCCAATCCCTTAAGTTATCCAGAAAGATCTCGGCGTACGCCACCGAGTTTTCTTCCATGGCTCTGTCTGGATGAGCCGATCTACCTATATTTCCCAAGGCAACGCAGAATTCTGCGACATCTTGGTATGGTCTGATCCTGAGGGACCTTAGCTCAGCCATGGCCCTCATCCTACTAGCTACCGAATCCGCTGCTAGCAATTTTCCCAACTCTTCAATCACTTCATCAAACCCTTTGATTCTTATTGTGGGTGCTAATGTTCTCATTACATACTTTGCCTGCCCACCCAAATGATTGTCAACTAATATATCTATAAGGGTGTCTGTGTCTGTGATTACTTTAGAATAATTCCTTTAAATTTTCTGCCAAATTTTCGTTGGGCTTCTCATAAAAAATACCCGGATCCGGACAAGAGAGGGATTGAACACAATCTAAAAATCGCAAATAATTTTGCTAACCTCTTAGTTCCACGTCCCTGTCCCCTGAATGCAAACTGGGTAATCCCGACACAATTGTTTAAGTTTTGTTCGAACAGCGCTCCAGTCCGCCTTGGATTGTACTGCTGGGGCTGCAAAGTATCTCTTTGATAAGTAGTTTTCTCTATATCTACTACAGTTTGCATTGACTCACCCTGCTTGACTTCATCCGTTTCACCTCCCATCTTTTTGAGGTCTTGAATGGCTGTCGGCACCTGAAGCACATCAGTATTTAGCATATTGCATGCTTGTGCCAGAATCTCCCTGTTTCTCTCAGCCACCCTTACAAACTCTCTCCAGTCCTCAACTGATTGTATACCTAATGTTTTCATGGCTTCGGACATACCGTTCCGTTCATCCTCTATACTACGGCACTGTTCTGCCATTTCATTTAGTTCCCCACTCAACTCTCTCACTTTCTCCCTTATGAACATTTCGTATTTTTCCTTATACCTGGCTGAAATCTTGTGCTCTATCATCTCACTTGATATCTGGTACCCTTTCCAAATCCTGTCTTGGCCTCTCAATTCTTCTCTCTAGGCTATCGTAGAAACTCCCATTCTCTGTGTCCATGTGCTCCTCCGACACTTGAGCTTCTTTGCTCGCTTCCATTCGCTTTCTGCAACTACTTTAGTTGTGTTGTCCCCTCCACAACAACGACGAATTCGGCGTTCGCCCCTACTCAGATAACCGCCGGGGCAGGCGGCCATGCGAATTTTGAGCAAGCGCGCACCGGAAAAATAGTTCGTTGATTTTTTGCGGCCCGCTTGCAGAAATTTGGAAGAAAGTTGGCGAGATTAAAGACGAATGCTTGAAGAACAATCGCGGTTTCTTTATGGATTAGCTGCGGCGCAGTGGCCGCATTCTCGCGGACTTTCCGCGAGAATATGCAAAAATTTCGAGGGCCGCACGTTCCTTTATGGAAGACCGCGTAACCCCCAGGTACTTTCCGCTGAGAGAAAGTACCTCAAACTTGAGTAATCAAACCAACGATGACACCTCTGCCACACAGAGTCTTACCTGCGCTCGACGTACGCCCGAAAATACCTAAAAAGAGTCCGAGCGCTTGCTGAAAGTTTGGCCAGCGCTCGCTGGAAGATATTATTTGACGAGCGCTCGCAGAAAATTCTGTATTGCTGCCCGCTGGCAGAACGCGGAAGTACCGCCCGCTGAAGGTTTGGCCACGCCCCAAAATTCTGCTGACCGCCTGCAGAAAAGCGCGAGTTTGCGGACCGCCTGTCCCCGGCGATTATCTGAGTACGTGCGGCGAAAAGAAAACAAGGATGATTTCGAAATTCGCCCTTACGTGCGGCGAAAATTACTAATTTGCAGAAATCGGCTCGGCCCCCATGTAAGGGATATTACTCTCTAAGCGCGAAGAACAAGAACGACAGAGAACGTTTATTAGAAAGCAAATAAACAAAATAAGACAGACGCCACTGTTCCGTGGCGTCGGAACAACAAAACAATCAACAATGAATCGAGATCTGGCCTGCAGCCTTCCTGCCGTGCGAAGCGCGCCTTCGATCACCTTTGATCTAAATCGGTCTTGCTTCGGTGGCCTGACAAATATACAATTACTTGTGTGAGGGAAGCATAGTTTTGTTTTTGTAAAAAGCACATGGATTTTTGCTTCTTCGAATCTAACTGAGGAGAGGATGCTGCATTATTACCGAGGAGAAGATACTGCTTCATAAATGCAAGTGTCTGATGTGGACTATATTATTTGTGAACTAGTGAGAGACCTGTAGGAGTCTCTGAAAGAAGATTTCTTAAGATTTTTTGGGATTCCGAACTTTTTTTGGTTTCAAACAGGTGGACCAAAGTTGTGCGAGGTTTGCATGCCATTTTGCAAAGCTTGCTTTGTATTGATACGTTGATATCTAGTAGGAAAAAGCATATGATTTCGCGGTAGCAATCAAAAATCGAAGAAACTTATGAAAGCACCTAATATAACCTTTAATTCATCGGTAGTGGCGGATGAAAGGGGACCACTCGAACTCCCGCGACGCAGCTTGCGTCTACACTATGCATCTTTCACTGTGACTGCGTTTTCTATTAAGAATTTCTGCTACATAAAGAGGCGTGAATCTTGTCATTTTTATAGACTCGATCGAAAGCACTTCACTAATCTGAGCATTACCGCAAAACATCTCCAAGGTGAAGGAGTTGAGTATTGCAAGACGCCAGTCTCCGAAAGCAACGTCCGAAAAATTTTCGACAGTGTTTAAATCGACTTCTAATAGGTGCACAAAGTATTAAAACAATTCCTCGTCGATGGAAAATGTAATGGTGTGATACTCGTTCAATGTAGAGTTCCCTAGTTGGCTCAAATCATGTGTTATTCGTAGCAAGCAGGAAATTTTGTTCCATACAATTATTAAACTCATGGGAGTTGAGAACTGCGCAGTGAGTTTAACATGCTTTTCCTTATTCCAAATTTGCAAAAAGAGTAATCTGGATGAATCTATTTATTATTTGTTTTGCGACTAACACGAACGATAATAGCAGTCATGTGTCAACAAAGCTGCTAATTACCTTCATTTTCAAAGCTTGAATAGATATCGATGGGCGAAGTGCTTTACGAAGTTGTTTTCAAGGAGCTAGCTCTCGGAAACCCAAGAGTGTTGCCTCTCAATGTACAAGCTCAATGTGCACAGAAGTCTTTGTGACAAGAAAGTGTTTTCTAGAAGCAGTTCCACGGCAATTGAACTTGTCTTCATAACAAACAAGCGTGGACCCTCTAATTACACACTTATTCTTTCCCAAAATCCACTTTGCTAGAAATTTATTATCCACTAGTTGACTTACCCGGCTCCGTCCGGCCCTGTCATTATTATATTCGTAATCAGCATGGTCGATTACCCCCCCCCTGTGCCAACTCCCAGCCCCGTAGCTCAAATTTTGCAAAAAATCGATAAAATCGATATCGATCGACGACGAAAAGTAGCCTATGACACCCGCCGGGGCCCAAAGTCTATGTGTGCCAAGTTTGGTCCGGATCGGTTCAGAAATGGAATTTTCTATTTGGAACATACGTACAGACAGACAGACAGACAGACATACAGACAGACAAACAGACATTCAGCTTTATTTATTTATTTATTTATTTATTTATTTATTTATTTATTTATTTATTTATTTATTCAATACGCTCTTGGCGTTCCTTACAAAAAGAACAAAAAAGAACATGAGTTATTCTTATAACCGCAATCAAAGTCTACCATGAAGATTAGGTCCAAACTTCAAATTGGTTAAGAATTATTGTTGACTGAGCTTGTATGTGACTGCTCTAGATTACACTTATCAGAGTCTAAAGATGTGATCATGGAGATGGTACCCATGCCCCCATTATTGCCAGCAAAACTCTCTAAGATATTTTATAGCCTAGGTTTGTATGGTGGATATACTCTCACCATATGAGGCAAGTAGGACGAGCGTAATAACTCAAGATCAATCTTGAGTAATATGGAGGGTTGTAATGAATCGTATGTGATCGAGAAGATCAGCAAGTTGTTGAAAGCTGTGGAGGTGGTGTTCACGCCTACTCGCTTGCTAGCAAAATGCTCTTGAAGTAGTAAAGTTAGCAAAGCAAGGCTTGGTCGGTAGAGTAGCAAATAACCTTGCCCAAATGATTCTGGGGAGAGACCAATGCTCCGAGAGAATATCGATAGAATTCCACTTATTAACTCAACTAGAGCAAGTCAGCAAGCTTTGCTGATTAAAAGTAAGCAATCGTTGTTCAGACCTGCACTAACATGATGACATGATATGGGTTAGTAGGAAATGTAGAAAGCAAATAATATTGGTAGAAAGACAAGTATCAATGGCCGTATTTGGTCTAATTTGAAGTCCATTCAAAAATTCAATCGCATATCAATCGCATGTAGCCACCTCATCATGGAAAAACAGATGTCGGACTAGCACTATCTGTAAAGATTTCATTCAATCTCAGTGTTTTTAGTTTATTTTTGAAAGAGTTGCTATTAGTGCATGAAAGAACTTCATTAGGTAGTTTTTGTATCATTTTTATCACACGTTGGAAAAAGTCGTAGTTTGATAATGTTGATTTCTTTCGCCCACCGATTCGCTGATGATAAATAGAAAAACAACTGATCCTTCCGTATGTGGGTCTGAATACCCAGTACTTGGAAGGCCTTAATATGGTCTCCCCTCTGAAAATCCTGAAAGCAAGTACAAGGTCGTGTTCAACTCTACGGTAAGAGAGGCTTTTCAGACCAAGTTTTTTCAAGCGTTCTTCATAATTAGGAAGTGATTGGGGATATTTTGGATTGGGAAAGCAACGGTAAAACAGAAGTCGTGTGAAAACTTTCTGAACGTTCTCGAGAGATTGTTTGTGCTTCACCAGAGAGGGGTTCCACACCTGATTTGCATACTCTAAAATGGGGATAACAAAAGCTCTGTAAAGTTTTAAAAGTATCTTAGGGTTATCGACTTTGATGCTACGATATATGAGATAGGTAACAGAAATTGCACGGGAAATAACGGCTTTGATCTGTAAGTCAGGTTTCAGAGATGGAGTAAAAATTACTCCCAAGTCCTTGACATAAGGTCTTTTTTCTAGAATTATACCGGCATGTTCGTATTGAAAATCGTCATTAGTGCCAAAACCGATGTGGAAAACAGAACTTTTATTCACATTGACAGAGATATCCCAGACTTTGCACCAGTCCACCATTAAATTAATGGCACGTTGTAATGCATTCTTGACTGATGTGTGGTTTTCATTGTTATAAATTCCATAAATTTTTATATCGTCTGCATACATGAGTACGTGAACATCTGGGTGAGTCTTCAGTATTTTAGGTAAATCGGCCGTATAAATGTTGAACAAAAGAGGTGATAATGCCCCTCCCTGTGGAAGCCCACTCGTGCATGGAAAACGTCCAGAATGTTCTATGCCAACACGAACGGTCATATATCTATTTTGAAGATAAGACATGAACAATTCCAATAAATCTCCTCTACGCCATAGTGGTTGAGTTTGTACAACAGTTTTTCATGGCTTATGCGATCAAAAGCCTTGGATAAGTCAAAATATATTACATCGACTTTCTTCTCATTAAGAACAGCATTAATCCAATCATAAGTACAGTCCAACAGTTGGGTTACCGTAGATGCACCTTTACTGAACCCATGTTGTTCAGGTGGTATGAGTTTAAACTTATCGAACCAATCAAGGAGTTTGTCTCGTAATATCTTTTCAAGTATTTTGCATGGAATGGAGTTCATGCTTATGGGTCTAAATTCGGTTATAAATTGTGGTTTGCTTATCTTTGGAACAGGAGTTACAATGGCTTCTTTCCAGATTTCTGGCACTTGTCTGCAAATGAGACAAATGTTAAAAATATAGGAAAGTGGGATTGAAAGTTCTCTTGCACATTTTTTGAAGAGAATCTGTGGGAGTCCATCGAAGGGTTCAAACTTTGAGGGTTTAAGTTTTCTGAGGAAACGTTCG